AGAGCGGCTCCAGCGCCTTCGAGGAACGCGGGGGTGCTGGAAAACCCCCGGGTATCCATCCCCTCTGGAGCGGCTGGACGGACCCCCCCAAACCCATGGGCAAAGCTGCCCTGAACCACACGTAACATCGAGGGGATTTTCCACACGGTTTTGTTTCCCTTCCACTTTCTAGCACAGCAAGAAGGACATTGCCGTTTGTTTGGCAGGACAGAAATAAAACGCCTTTAAGCACGTTCTCAATGAGGCCACCTGAGGATGAATGAACTCCACTACCTTGCTAGTTTCGGTGGTTTGAGACTGACAAAGCTCAAAGCTGCTCCCACGAACTTGTTTGTATCCTCTAACGATGCTGGAACAGTGAAATGAGACACTGGAATGTGTCCAGAATCACACAGAGGTACACTAACTTTGCTTTTGTCAAGTGTTTTCAGAGGGAACCTGAGGCTGAGAGGTGTGGAGAAGTATTGTCCATGTTCTATTTTCTCACCTCAATCTCTTCCAGGTTTCTTAGTCACCTTTCTCTCATTTTCAGTCACTGACCTTTCTTTCTTCTCTGAGAACATTTTGACAGGGGAAGCCAAAGGACACCCTCCTTGGAGGGGAGGTTGGACTGGGTGGCTCCTGAGGTGCCTTCCAACCTACAGTCCTGCACCATAGGGCAGGTTCTTTTTAGCACTACATGTGTTTTGCTGTTGTTAAATGCTTTCAGTAGCTCTTACTGGTGGTTCTGGGTTCCTCTGCTTTGTTGGCCCAGCAGCCCCAGTGCCCTGGGACAGTGCACACACACTGGGGCAGCCACAGGTGATGGAGGAAGGGAAAGTGTCCCAGTGGTTCCTGCCCTTTTGCTGGTCAAACTGAACTTGGGTTTGTTGAGTATTTTGTACATGCCATGATGTCACTGGCAGGGATGCAGAGCAGTGAGGGGGTGGGTCAGAAGGCCCTTGTGGGCATTCTTGACAGGGATTTCTATAAAATTCCCCCTCAAGGGCTGGATGAATGCATAGATGGAAAATGAAAATGAAATGAGAAAGCAAATGACAGTTACATGGAGCTCGTCCAAAAGGAAGCAGTTTGGAAAGAAAAAGGAAAAAAAAAAGCTTGACATGCTGCTTTAATAGTGACCCAGGCTCATATCAGTGCCATGCAGCTGCTATTGATGGGGATGAAGAGGTTCCCACCTCCTTGTCATGAGTGTGAAGGAGATAACTCATATCTGCTGTCCATTCTGCCCGTAATCACCAGTCTGGTAACTTTTCCAGTTCCCAGACAGCTTCCTCTGCCTCCTCTTTCAAAGATTATCTTTCACTTCTCAAGTCACTTGGGGATTTTAGTGATTCTGCTGAAACGTAGTTGATGCTGCTGTTAAAATACATATTCTGGTGCTTGCTGGGTTATGAATGTGCTTCTGACTCAAAACCACACATCATCTCTGATCCTGTTTATGAAAGATAAAAGATGAAACCTTGAGAGGGTGTTTGAGGGTAATATGGGCTTTACGAGGCATCTGAACGGCTGCGGATCCCATTTTAATATTTGCAGAAATAATATAAAAGTCCTCAGTATGAAATGCTGGGGTCTAGAAAAGGGAGCAGTGTTTTGGCACAGTGTATAAACACAACCACATGCCAGTCTCCAGGTGCCTCTTTCTGTCCCCACATCAGAGGTGATCTTCAAATGGCTGAGTCGCTTGAGTGTTTTGAGGCTCGTCCTAATTCTGTTGCTCTCATTCTCCAAACACCAGGTCCTGTTCAGTTGGATGTACACTGCAGTTACTAAATTAGAACCGTGTTTCACTAAGTCTATGGAAAACATCATTTCCCATTGGGAAGTGAAGAGCTGGAGCAGCCGTGGAGAACAAGTTCCCCAGGCAAGGGCACTGCGGCCGTTGTGCCACGGCTGCTCCTGCAAGCCAGAGCTGGGCCCTGCAGGACCCTGTCAGTGCTGATGGGGCTGGGGGCAGGAGGTGGGGGTCGACCCAGTTTTCAGCCCTTCAGACATTTTACAGTGCTGTCACCAGCTTGGTGTTAGATTTTGCTGCATAAAATTTACCCAAGTCAAAAGGGAAAAGCGATGGAGGTCTGTTGAGGCAGCTAAAGGAGAGGCAATGCTGGTGCTCCCTTGTGCTTCTCCCAGTTATTCTTGAGTCTTTCTGGCAGTTTTTGTCCTGCAGTCAGGGGGAGGAGGAAAGAAGAACCTTCCAGTGAGTTTGCTCAGATTCAGTGTGCTGACCCAGACAGGTGAGACCTGGGGCAGATGGGTCTCGTTTCTCTTCATACCTCAAAGCTCAGCACATGAAGGTGTGAGGGGTTAAAGGACAGGATATGTATCTTTTTCTCCCCCTATGTCATCTTTATTGAGAAATAAAGAGAAATCCAGAGTGTTAATCTGAACCTCCCCTCTTCCACCACCCTAACATGTGGCACTGCACTGGTTGGACCAGCTAAATTATCTTCTTATCCCTCCCCACTGCTGTTCTCTTCCTTTCCTTGGGCAACTGAGACATGTCTATTGCTGAGTTTATTCAGGCAAGACTGTAAAACAAATTAGTTAAGAAAATAGTTTGGAAAAAGTTAATTTGGGTCAAAGAAGGATTAACCGAGGAAATTGTTTCTTTACATCCTTCTGCTCAGAAGTAAGCAAGGAAGAGTTTGTTGAGCCCGTTTTTGAGGTTATTTTGTCTGTGCTCTGTCCTTTCAGTAGCTGTCATTGCTTAAATCCATCTAACTAGATGAGGAAGGAAGGAGATTCAGTTTGAGAGCAAATTCAAAGTGAAAAGATTTGGCCAGCGACATGATGAAAGGGATAAGTGTAGGTAGAATGGGATTAAACAGAAGTATTCTTGGTATTGAACACATGGCTCAGAAGCCTCTAACACTCTTTGTAGCCTTATTTGAAACCAACTTTATATTGCTTTTGCATGGAAAAGGCAGGATAAAACTAATTTAAAAAATCAATGTGAAACCGAGCGAGATAGAAATTGTTTGATAGAATTGTTTGATAGAATTGTTTGATAGAATTGATAGGCAATTATGAAACCTCATTGCAAAACATCAGGAGCAGCAGCAGGGAAAGACTGTGCCAGGAAGGAGAGTTGGATTTGCAGAGGGTGATCCAAAGGAACCGTTGCTGGGGCCGGAGCTGCCCAGTGGCAGCAGCTCTGTGCTGGCACCCGGACACTGCACAGGGAGAGAGACCTGGCTGCAGCATTGCCCCAGTCCAGTGTGCAGGGGAGGCAGGGACAAACAGCAGTGGGTTGCATCCCCGCTCCTCTGTGCATGTCGTTCCCTCTCGGCTTTAAAACCTCAGTTTAAGGAGCAGCCTGCAAAAGTAGAATTCCCTGGGCCTTCCGAAGAGTTCCAGTTCCTACCATGAATGTGTGCTCTGTGTGCACAGCAGGACAGTGGTTGGTTCTGTGGTGTGGCACAGAGGCAGTCCCACTCCGTGGTGTGCAAAGCCTGTTGTCCTCACCACTCTGGGAGCGAGGGAATAGCTTGAATTGTCTCACTTGAGGAGTAAACACAAGGGCAAAAGGAAGGCACAAGACCAAAACTGAGTAAGAAGTCAGTAGAAGAGCCAGAAATGGGGTCTGCTAACTCTGTGCATTATTTGTTGTTTAGGGTATGCTGCCAGTATTAATAACAAAAGAATTGGCTGGGTTTCCACATTTGGGCTATGAAAAATGCATGTGTGTGCTGCTGCAATCAGGGGAGCGCTGTGCTGGAGGAGCAGCGCTGCAGGTTAGCACTCCGACAGGGTCCCCGTGGCTGCTGCGCCTCGGTGCTGTCACCTTCTGTACTCATCAAGTGGATAAAGAATTTTTGTCATGCTGCTTCATGAATGAAGCCTGTGCTCCTAAAGAGCATAAGAATTAGCTCTGAAGTGTGCATTAGCACAAACCCGAGGATGCTGAAAATCATAAAAACTAAAATACACTCTCACTCCATTTTCCCTTTCCCTTGTCCTGACTCTGAGAGGGGATGGAGTCTGGGTTTAGTTTGTCATGGTTTTTTTTTTCCACTGGCTGCTGCTAAAATGCTTGGGATTGTGGAGAGCTACCAGCCCTTTGCTTTTAGCATCATTCAAAAACCTTCCATTTAGAAACCATTCTGATATCTTGGTGGTTTTTTTCTTCCTCGTCTTTTTTTAACTACTAAGGAAATTTGCATGAAAATGGAATCATTGTTTCTGAAGAGTTCCATCTGCTCCTGCTGCTTATTCTGGAGCTGAAGTCATAATCCTCTGCTTGTGAAATTTCCCATTGAAGAGATTTTTGGCTTGTTATAGTTTCAGCACAAAATTTCAGAACAGAGGAAATATAGATGCTTCACCTAGAAAAAAAAGTAAAAAAGAAAAAGCCTTGAGATGACATCAGAACTGCCAGTGCATCTGCAGTCAATACACTGTAATTCCATAGGGACTGAGAGAGTAGGAAATAGGACAGTACGAGAGGTGTGAGGGGCTTGGGGTGGGAAAATGCATTTCCTCACAGTGTCAGAGCTTTGGCTGGGGGTAATGAAGGAATTGTAATTTTCTGGGTGGCTCAGTACATTAGGATCCCTTTTAGTGGAAGGGAAAGG